AACCCTGACCACGACTTTACCGGTGGTAGAGAAAAATGACTTAATGCCTAGCCACCGGTTGAACAGTGGGAGAGAAAATTGACTTAATACTCAGCGGTTGAACGATGGGTAAAGTCTTGTAACTATTTCTATATCTACCGTGAAACATTACATACCAATTATTTGCGGATTTTGACTCAAGAGCTTAGGCAGAAAGGTTAAATTTGTTCAGGAAAGCAGGACTGAAAGGGTTAAGGAACATTGACTAGCCACTGTTCTGTAGGTAATATATTCCCGATACACACGTGAAACTATAGATCAAGCGATGTTTAATGTACTCACAATTTTAGAAATGGAACGTTTCACCTACTTAGTCAGACAGACAGACAGACAGAAAGACAGATAGTTAGAGAGAGAGAGAGAGAGAGAGAGAGCGAGAGAGAGAGAGAGAGAGTACAGTACAAGTTAACCTAATGATTAGAATACCAGAAACTGATAGTATTGTAACCTTTTGAACTTGTTTCGTGTTTTCTGAAAGATATTTCAGAAAAAGCTGGAACCTTTATCTTAGTCATATTAACATTCATTTTGATCATGGAAGAAAGTGTAGAATGTTTAGATGGATTTAAGCACGACTATCTTGCTTTGGGGGTACGGTGGAGTGATGGATAGCGGCTCGGATTGAGGAATCGGAGAGCCGAATTCGAATTTATTACATTCACTTACATTCACTTTGGGAAAGGCATGTATCCTCTTCTTCTCACCCCAGCCATAGGTAAATAGCAGGACAGACCGGGTTCTATAGACTTAGATGGCAATAGGCCTATCGCAGAAAGAAATGGCAACCTACTGCGGGAGAAATATGCCTCGTCAGTCATGTATCGAAATATACATGAACACCTAAGCGTGTATGACATAATTGACTGACTATTTTGCTTCAGAGAAGTTCTGAGCAGACATATATCTCTCAAGAAGAAAGTTGTATAAAAGTTTACTTAATCCATTAATACACGCCGTAAAATTCCGATATTAATTATAAAAATAAAAACCTGGTATTGATTATAAGTTTATAAAGGATGATGGACATTAATAGGTTAAAAACAAAGCGCTGTCAGCTTAGATAAAATATGATTATAATTATATCTATATCTAAAATTCTCAAAATATGTCTGTGTGTGTGATCGGATGTTGTTTATACATCTCCACAGTTTTCATCCGATTTCGATGAATTTTTTTTTGATAGATATTTCTTCAGTGCCGATTTTGAGTCCAAATTGTTGGCGACAGTGGGTCTCCACTACTTCCTGTTCATTATAACTCTCAGCAACGTTTTACTATTTAGTATCTGTTCTTAGATATATATCTTTCATAAAAATATTCATAAAAATATATATAGTTTAAATTATTACAATAATATTATTTATTATTATACAGTTCCCTTTTCAGCCCCCCCATTCAAATGGGGGGCAGGGAACTGAAGTCACAACATTTGGGTGCAACTGATCCACATTCCCATTTGGAGATGTGCCACAGTTGCACCCAAATGTGACTAATATTGATTTTCGTGTGTGTTGACTTTAAACTTAAACTGCTCCAATTTAACGGCAGAAATTGTCTGTAATGAAAGACTCGGTCAAAGACGGGTTATACTGCTAGATTTATATTAAAATGCACCTATTAGTAAACTTTAGAGTCATTCAAAGTAGGGTTTTTGTTAAAATTATTATTATAAATAAGGTTTGTGATATGAATGAAAGAAGAGATGCTAGGAAATGATGATTATGATAAAAATGCGGATAGATAACAATATACCCTTAACTTGAATAGTTAAGAATGTAGTGTCCAGGGAAGCATCCACATGGGAGTCTGTTCCAGAAAGTATCAGTTCTTGGATAAAAAAGAAAAAAAACTGTGTGAATAGAATTTTTTCCTTACATGTGGAATACGGAAGAAATGAGATGTGATTTGACTTTGTGGAATTAGTTTGGTATGTTTTGACTGCAAACGTCTGAACTGGTGGAACTAAATGGAGCACATTTGAACATTTGCCATGGAAATAGCGATAAAGTAGTGATAAGGTTGCGACGCTGCGTGTGGGAAAGACGTGCTATGTTCTGTTTGTGCATACATTTTCAGTGCGAATATTTTTTTTTATCTATTTGTTTTTGCTCGGGTATGGTAATGCTAATGAAAATAGCCGTTTCCTTATAAGAAAATATTCGGCATTCATTAACCAAGCCGCCAAAGCTACTTTTGGTTGAAATATATAAACTCTTTCTATTAAAACACAGTTTCAAGAAAATAAGTTTCTCAACTCCACTGCCATCTAAGTGTTATCACTCTTTTCAGTATTGATGGGGGTTTCCTTCCTAACCTTTTATTTGAAGTAGTGTGGAATGTTAACATTTTATTTTCACTTCTAGTTACATGCGTTATCCATTTTAGTTGTTGCTCTTGTTGAAAGTCCTCAAGTGATATAGTTCCTATTATTTGGTACAGTTCTTTGTAATTTTGTAGCGCCAGTTACCAAGATTCAAAGAAGGATGGGCCTCACTAAGGCCTACAAATTTCTTTCGCTCGAAGCCATTTTTAACCATTGATATGAGAAAGTGGTTGTATAGATCTGAGAGTTTAGATATTTCTGAACGTGTTTGGTGCCATGTATGGCATCCATATGAAAGTCTCGATCTGACGAATATATTTAAGAACATAAGTTGAGTTTTTAGGTTAATGTTTTAATTTTGTCGCAATTTACGGTGTTAGGCGGAACTACGCCTAGAACAGCCTAATCTCTGTTCAATTTCTTTGTTATCTGAGAGGGTGCTGAAAATTTCTCAGCTTGATCCACTCTCCAAATCTGCAGAATTTTTAGAAGAGTTTTTAGATCGGGCGGAATATCTTTCGGCAGGTATGTTATGAATTATGAAAGAAAAATTTTTATGTGAGTTTCCAACATCAAGCGACAAAAAGCACGAAAATAATTTTTACTGTTGGTTATATTGTCTCAAATAATATTCTACATTGTAAGAGAGAAGATTTGATGAAGAGGAACTTTTTTATTTCACCTATTTTTAAATGGTTAAAATTCCGAATTATATAAACCATAACAGTTTTAATGCCATCTAAGTGCATCTAAGAAAAGCTTTCTTTCTTGCCCAATCGCAATTGTTTTCATACAACAAATAGGTGTGGCCTGCTTGATCCGTTCTCTGAAATTGCTCTTTGAACGACTCAATTCAAAAGCGCTCTTTTGTATTTACATTTCTATGTTTGTTTATTAACTTCGTCATTGAAATTGTACGGAGTTTATGTTTTTATTAGCATCCATCGCTCTGTTTAACTGTTTACTTAGCCAAGTTTGTGTTAATGCATAATGGGTATTTTTGAAGAAAAAATTGTTAGCGTGTAGAACTTATAATTTGAAATTAGCTTACAATCAAAGACAGCATAAGTCATATATTTAAAGGGAAATTGTAGCTCATAAATAGGACGATTTAATAATGATATCAATGAATACACCATGAAAATACTTAAAATGAAATGCATTTAATTATATTGAAATTTAATACATAAATTAACACCTTAAGATTTATGAATGAAAATAATCAAGATACTTGGAGGTAATATTTCACTCAAAAGCTATTTTTTTTCTTTATATTGTAATTAATAATCAATCTTTGTGTAAGGAATATTGATTTTCTACGTGTTTAATTTTCAAAGTAACTTTGATTTTTTTATAGTTTAAAATTCCCTGATTAGATGTCTTTTAAGCCCTCATCAGGTTAGCTTGATGAATTGAGTTATTTCCCTTAACTCTTTACAAGGTCAATATTCTCTACCTAGATTTTGAAGCAGTCTTTTATTTTACACATTCTTCTTCTATGCGCCCTGTCCCTTCAGGACGTTGGCGATCACGACCTTCCACAACATCCAGTTTTTTGTAGTTATGAGTAAATTTTGACTTTTTAATATATCATCCATGTTCTGTCAACCAATTACACAAGCTGGTTAGGTAGGTTATACGTTGGTTTCCTCTATCGCTCTTGCCTTCAATATGACTGATGAGTATCGAAATTTCCAAGCCCTCTTTCCTCATTTTATGCCTTAGAAATTTTAACTATCACTTTCTGATTTAATGTGTAAATGTTCTCTTTTTCTATTTCCCTAAAACTCGGAAGTTGCTCACATATTCTGTTCATGGCATGATTTATTCAGTATCCTTCCGTTACTTCAAGTCTCTTCTTTATCTGTGATAAGCATGCTATATAAGAGGACCGATACTACATAAAGTTTCACTACTCTTTTCTTTGTTTCTAACGAAAGGTTTCTGTTTCTTCATACATTGCTTAGCTTTTGGAAGGCATCTTTCGCTATCTCAATGTAATCCGTGATGTATATTGTTCATTCTCTGTTAGTATTTTTTATTTCCCCACTTTTTCAGTTGCCATGCATCTATGTTTTGTCCTCGATTTTGTTCTGAAGAGCGTGGAGCGATAACCGGTTAACCCATTTTCCTAATTTGATTCACCACTTTATGGTGAGTGATAACGTTCTTTGCATATTCTTACTCCCTTTGTTTTAATATGTTTGTATATATTAATATATTTATACTTTTAAAATGCCTTTTTTAAAAGACAAAAAAATGAAAGTAAGGTAAAAACAAAGAAAGAAATAACGAGAAATAGAAAGAAAGAAATAACGAGAAATAGAAATAAATAAATAAATAAATAAAGAGAAAGAAAGAAAGAAAGAACGAGAAAGAAATAACCAGAAAGAAATAAAGAGAAAGAAAAAAGAAAGAAAGAAAGAAAAAAAAAAGAAAGGAAAAAGAAAGAAAAAGGAAAGAAAGAATGAAAAAGGAAATTAAAAACATATCTTCCCAGACACACTGTAGCAAGAGACACTTCCATGGTGTCGATTGAGTAACAGTCCGCATAAAGATCGTACGTATAAACAGAATATGATAATGATTCTTTACTTACTCGGAAATAGTGCCAGTTCGTGACAACTTCGCTGAGAACATGTCACACACCAAATTATTATCGCTAGTTTTCATACAGTCCATCAAACACCAACTCAAGTTGTCTCTGTTCTTTTCCAAGAATCCAACTGCATGGTATTCGACCTGAGGGAGAGACAAAAATGACCTTAACAAAGGCAGGTACAAAGCTGCAATAAATGAAAAGCACACCAATAAATGAACACTACGATTGTTTTAGTTTAAAATAAGCATTCATTATTCAAACAGCTTCTTCCTGTGAACCACTGCCCGATGGAATAAACTCCCAAGAAGAGGATGTTTCCCTGATCACTACAATCTTAACCTGTTCAAATCTAGAGCCAACCGTATCTTCCCCTCCTATCCATATAAACTACCCCTTAACATAACCCTCTACCTCGACTGACCCCTAGGCCTTGTACAGGGTCACCTCACTGTAAAAAAAAAAAAAAAAAAGAAGTAACAGGTCATATATAAAATATGTTACAGGGATTTCAATTCAAATGCTCATGTGCATATGTGGAAATGATGAGACAGTGGAAAAGCTATAAATAAGCGTTTATCCTAACGGCTTTTCGTTGCTTTCGGCTTCAGGCCAGAATGAAAGGTAAAATTATCTGTGAGAAAAATGTCTTGGAATTTTTTAAGATAAGTGGGGCCATAAATTAAATCATCTTATCAGATCCGACGACCAGAAAATAGAAAATTTTCGTTTGTTTGTTATATGGATATATTGGATTCGTTATAGTCATCTGGATTTTGAATCGTTCTTATGCTTTAATCGTTCTTATTGCTTTAAATAATGCGTACAATGGTGATTTCGGTGACCACACAGTTTCTCTCTCTTTCTCTCTCTCTCTCTCTCTATCTATCTATCTATCTCAGTCTGTTCATATCTATCTATTTCAGTTTCTATCTATCTATCTATCTATCTATCTATTTCAGTCTTTTCATGTCTATTTCAGTTTATTCATATCTATCTATCTATCTATCTATCTATCTATCTATCTATCTCAGTCTATGCATATCTATCTATCTATCTATCTATCTCAGTCTATGCATATCTATCTATCTATCTATCTATCTATCTCAGTCTATGCATATCTATCTATCTATCTATCTATCTATCTCAGTCTATGCATATCTATCTATCTATCTATCTATCTATCTCAGTCTATGCACATCTATCTATCTATCTATCTAAGTCTATGCACATCTATCTATCTATCTATCTAAGTCTATGCACATCTATCTATCTATCTATCTAAGTCTATGCACATTCATCTATCTATCTATCTAATCTAACATCTATGCATCTATCTATCTATCTAAGTCTATGCACATCTATCTATCTATCTATCTATCTATCTATCTATCTATCTATCTCAGTCTATGCATATCTATCTATCTATCTATCTATCTATCTATCTAGAGAGTGTTGTATAGAAAGACGACCGACCTTCGCTATACTAAATTATTGAACATAAACTCTTCCATTGACTTTGAGAGGAGTCGCAATGAAGACACAGTAGTAGTTAGTCTATTGTACGAACTACGACATACGCTAGTATTGTATTATCAACCCACGTGATTTCTTCATTAATCTTTTGTTTCCGTCTTTGTTCTTTTTTAATATTAGTAACGAAAATTACTAATTTATAGGAGCAGTATAACACACACACACATACACAAACACACTGATAGATAGATAGATAGATAGATAGATAGATAGATAGATAGATATGGCAGCATTACTGTGAAATAGTATTTAGAAAATTAGATACACACAACATTACCATTGTTGTGATTTCATTCCTTAGTTGGTGACCCATACTTGTGGCTGTGTGACATACGAAGCGAATTTTTCTAAACATCATTTTACCCCACACAAGGCGATAAAGCGACGAAGACTCAATTGAGAGTGAAAGACAATGAGAAAACTTTATTGGGGAGAAAGGACAATAAAAAGGGCAGTATTCAAAAAGATAGAATGCAGCAACTGAATTTGCATTTGAATTTTTTTGAAGATCGTAGTTGACATGAAAGCAAGAAAACGGTGATATATATATATATATATATATATATATATATATATATATATATATATATAGATAGATAGATAGAGAGAGAGAGAGAGAGAGAGAGAGAAAGAAATAGATAGAAGCGACATTTTTTTTATTGAGCATGAATCTGTTCTTGCTATTTATTCCCTTAGTACGACCCAAGGTTACAAGCGCGGAGAACTCAGTGAGGATAAAATATACTACAATAATAATTGTCATTGGGACGTGAGGGTAGCGTAACGGTTACTGGTGCCGAAAGTGGAACCGGTGAGTCATGTTCAAATTCCACTAGTTCACTTTGCACTATACCTTCGGGAAAAGCACCTCTTTCTATCTGTAGATTAAATAGCAAGGTAAGCAAGGCTTCCTAGCCTTGAGTCTGAAGAAGCAAAACCCTGAATTCGAAACTGTAGGGAGAACAACGGGAAACCAGTCCACTATCTTTTCAAATGTCATAGCTTTTCTGACATTATTTATGGAAACCTACTATCGCCTATGTCTTAAAGGGCCATAGCATTTAAAATGTCATTGAAACTAACTACACCAGGGTGGGACACTTCGCATAAATCTATTCTTAGTGTCAAAGTTACGTAACTATGCAGCTTTTATTCCCCCCCCCACATATATATATATATACGCACAAAAATAAAGCTTTATTTTACATGGTATCAATAGTGCTTTTTTTGCCGAGTAGGAATAAAGACAAAATAACCTGGTCCCATAAAGAAAAGTGCTCCCATAAAGAAAAGTGATCCCATTTAGACATCAGAGTGGATCAGAGCAGATGGAGGTTTATATAATATTTTATGAACAGACCACACCCAGCTCGGTGTCATCGCCGTGCATCTTTTTTCAAAATGTACGTGACTTAATGGAAATGAATATACTCAACAATTACTATTGCATTGAGAATGCCAATAAATAAACTAACAAAGCCTAGCAGATTTAAACGTGGGGGAAACATTCAGTATGTTTTTAGTTTAATGTCAGCATATAAACATGTTGCATTTGTAGAAAAAATAAATTTAAAATGCATATAGACATCAGAACACACACTCACACACAAATGCATACATACATACATAGATACATATATATATATATATATATATATATATATATATATATATCGTCCTGGATATGACTATAAACTACATCCAAGTCCTGAGTAAGACGATAAACTACGTCCAACAGCAACGACTCTGATCAGGGGGTTTTGAGGAGAGTGGAACCACCTCTTAATTGCTGATTTTCCACCCTGACACGTGGTGGTAGCACAGGTTAGGGCCCTAGCTATGGGCAAATAATTAACACCCAAACTTCTGTAAAAATAGGTTTTAATACCAGAAATACTTAAAAAAATATCAGCAATACATTTTTTGAAAAGAAAAAAAAATAACAGCTATAGATCTCTTGAAGGAAATGAAAATTTGTCGGTATTAAATAACCCATTGAGGTTGATATGCCGTAAAAACACAAACAAACCAAAAAAATATATATATATATATATATATATATATATATATATATATATATATATATATATATATATATGTATGTATATATATATCCTCATTATTTCATCCATAACGCCAAGAGAAAGACATAAATATATACAACTACAAAAAAAGATAATGACATTAACAACAACAAAAAACGAAATAAAGACAGAAATATATTACCTACTAATTACTTATATTACCTAATAATTCTTTATATTACCTACAAATTAATTCCTTAACAGCCACTATACCAAACAATTTATCAAATCTTAACAATATAAGAATAGTTACAAGCACATCCCCAACCATTATGGATATGATCAGAACCAAAAACATCCATAATAACAATAATAATTCTGATGCAGGTATATATAAAAGAAATTGTCACAACTGTTCCCTATATTATATTGGGGAAACTTGTAGAAATTTAAAAAACAAGTATCTATGAAGACTAAAAGGATTTTTTTTACATAATTTATGCATTAGTAATACGTTTCAATGAGTTCAATGACACCTTTGATTTAAAGAATGTCACACTTATTAAAAGAGAAAGTAATTACTTAGATGAAAAATTATTGAAAGTATCGCTATCGAATCCTACCAAAATATAAACCTGTACTTCGGATTTTTTTCAAATATATCCTTTCCTAAAAGATATACGTCTTTTCCAGCCAACATACATAACTATAAAACTGTTAAATTAAAAACATTATTATTTCAAATATATAATACATAATTTTATTTCTCAAGCTATAATAATACAAATATTAATTAGATTATTAAAAAAAAAATCAACAACAATAACAATATTTATTCACTTTAATTTATTAGAAATTAAATTAAATGACTTAGGATTCGTCATAATTAGGCTTGACTTTGAGTTAACCTGGAGTACATTCATGAGCGTTCTTAATTATAAAAATTCTGAAAAATAAAGACATTTTTACTTCTGTTTATCAATACTTGTTACAAAATACAATCGTTACATTTGCCTTTATAAAGTCCATCAGTGAAGGAAACGCATCATCTAAGAAAAGTTTTATTTTTTTTATTCATATATATATATATATATATATATATATATATATATATATATATATATATATATATTCTGTCTGAATTTCTGTGGTGATGAGTTATCGTTATTTACATTATTTTACATACGGGCTATTGTTGTTATCATAAAGATTTTCCCGCTGTGGTCTCCGGCTTTTATCAGTTATTTGTCGATCCAGGTAAGCTACTAGAAATTACGAACTGAAATCCTCGTTTATATAGGGTCTCCGGATCGACATACACTTGATGCAGACAGGTAGCACAATGGCCGAAACGCTATAACGACAACAAAGATATGTAAATAATTTAAACACAGACACAGACACACACACACACACACACACACATATATATATATATATATATATATATATATATATATATATATATATATGCACCCCCGGAAAAAATCTTAAGTCCAGATACAAAAGGGTTAAAAAAATATAAAATACTGTTACTTTAATCAAAATATATTTGCGAAACATTTATATTTAATTAGAAAATGTAGTTTATCAACAAAAAAGTGAAAATGTTAAGCTTTTAATTGATTAATTTAAACAAGCATTGTAAAAAAAAACGATTTTTTGGTTGGTCATAAAGATATGAACATGTGTGAAATAAACAAATTTTTGGACAAAAATTTTAAAACTAGTTAGTGTGCTCATAGCTTCAGGCGTGTAGACATCAACGTAGCTCATTTCCAGCATTAAATTTTAGATTCTAAAATGACCAAGAGTAAAACTTCAACGAGCTTCAATAACAGTTCAGCTAGGGCAAATGAAATTGGCCGTAGCTGAACTGTCATTGCTAACTTCATTAAAAATCTGGATACATATGCTTCTAAAAAAATTAAGCGATCGCCCCAATAAAATTTCACCATCTCTAGACAGACACAATAGACGAGAAGCCTAACATCAAATCAGATAAAAACGAATACAGATGCTGAATGCAGCTCTCGAACAATTCGACGGCATTTAAATAAGAAAGGGTTTAAGAACTTGAAACGGCTGCAGAGGTCTCGCCTCCTCACCATAAAACATCCCGTTTACAATTTGCTTCCGATTATCAAACTTGAGATGTGGATAAATGGGAGAAAGTGTTGTTTTCAGACGAGAAAAAATTCAATCTCGATGGCCCAGACGGTTTTCAGCGTTACTGACATGCAAATGATGTCCTAAAAGAAATTTTCTCAACTCGACACAGTAGAGGTGGATCAGTTATGGTCTGGGGTTCATTTTCGTACAATGGAACTCTTGAGTTACAGGTGGTAAAAGGTCATCAAACCGCTGCTAGTTACATTGACATATTAAGAAAGGAATCGCTAATTAATGAAGGCCCTCATCGGTGGAGAAAACTGGATTTTCTAGCAAGGCAATGCTGCAATCCACAACGCTCTCCAGATCAAAACCCAATCGAAAATGTTTAGGGATGGATGGCAAAGGATGTTTTTAATTTGAAACTGTGGATGCTCTTAGTGCTGCAGTTTATGCATTCTGGGCGAGCATCTCAAGCACTCTAATGCAGAAGTTAATAATGAGTATGCCAAAGCAAATTTTCGAAGTAATTCGCAAAAATGAAGGATATACTGGGAATTAAATTGTCGTTGTGATTTATTTGTTCTGTATTTGCTATTTTTATTTACATGGTCTTATCTTTATGACCAACCAAAAGTGCAAAGAATAATTTTCCCCTTCTCCCCTAACCTACTCATTTTCCTCTCCCTGTCCCTTTTCCTTTTCCCCTACCCATTACACCTTTCATTCTCTTTTCCTGTGGTCATATAAGTTGGTGGAACATACTAGATTGTTCATCCTTCTAAATGCCTGGGGAGACCTTGCGGCCGAAACCCGGGTAGCATGG